TGGTGTCTTGTGGCTCAGGGTATTGAGGTGTAGTTTCAAGTTTGAGGGCTTGGGGCTCTGGATTTTTGTTGAAGGATCAGTGGGTCGGATATGTAGAAGCATAGCTGCCCACAGGAGCTGTTTGTCTGAATGCAGCGTGAGACAATTCCTGAGTGCTCCTGAACAAAATTATCGTTTCTTGCAGACCCGCAGGTGGGGGGGGGGGGGTTGAGTCGTAACCAGATCGTAACCAGAGTAGGAGCGCTATCGGAAATATAATTTTAGATGGGTGGCTATTGGCTTGAGGGTGATTGTGGTGTCAGGTTTTTGGGACTGGCTAGAGGCTGCTTTGAGGTCAGGCTCTTTAGGTTTAGTGTCTGGTTTAGACTCGATTCGCTTTCTGGGTTTGAGGTCCTGGATTGATCCGCGTTTTGGTTGAGTGGCGCATCATGCGGCCTTGCTTCAAGTCCTCTTGGACCGTGAACATTTTAAGCATTTACTCAGGACCACTAACCGAATCCCTCAGATGCCTAAACCCCAAACTCGAAGCAAGGCCGAGATCGGCGCAGTGAAGCTCAATCTCGACAAGGCCGGTCGGCTCCTTGGGAGCTGGCACACGGTCCATGCAGTTTGGGGGTTTAGGGCATGTAGGGTCTGGAGGAAATAGTGTGCTTTCAACGGGGAAAGGGGTGTTGGTGTTGTTGGGCTTTGGGGCTTCAGTGTGTTGGGTGGGCTTAGGTTTTCGGTCTTCAGGATTTGGGGCATTACTTCGATGGTCGCGAGGTTTTCTGGGAGCCTTATGCTGAACCCGACAAACTCTGAAGAGAGAGCCCGAACTCCCGTGGTTTATGGCCGAACTCCAACAAAGCCTGAAGCCCCCCCAACCCGACCCCAAAGCAAGAACAAACGGAGGCGCGATAAAGGAAGACATGAGGCAGGCACGTTGAGTCTGTGCGATGAAGATGATGACTCTAATGATGAATACAGTGCTTCTGAGTCTTACGACCTGCTTTTTCCCACCATCAAAAAGTATTAGTCGTGGTGGCCGGTAAGGAGCGGAGCAGCATTTTTAAGGGAATACATAAGGCGAGTTTAAGGGGCAGTATAGGGAACCATGATAGGTCTCCTTTGAGGGGAAGTATAGGATACTGTTTTAGGGTCCCCAAGGTATATTGACTTGGCAGGTCGCCGAGGAGGCCAACGGCAAGATCGACGCTGCCAACGAGCGAATTCGGTCCCTTAGGCCATGTCGGGACTCTTGGTGGGCTTTCTGTGTCATGGGGTTGGGGTTTGGGGTGTCGTGTTTTGCGCCCGAAGCAACGAACCCGTAATGTTGGAGACTTGTATTTAGAGAGCACATGTCTCAAAGCACAAAGTCGTCGAAGCCTCATGCCGAGCACCCCAGGCCATGAGCCCTTGGAAATCTTGATGCCCCGTCGGGAAGTCTACAGCCCCAAGCCCTGAGCCCTACGAGATCCAAACCTTGAAGGGACCCCTAAACCCTAAACCCTAAACCCTCTGCCGCCTTAGGGGTTCTCAAAGCTCCAAAGGCTCAGGCCGCGAACCGATTGCAACTCAATCTATGGGGCTCTGAAGAGCAATAACATCCGGTTTAGGGTTTAGGGCTCTTTCATTTCGTTTTCCAAGCCGACATTGCCGGTGGAAGTTTTGGGTTTTGGGCCGGTATTGACTGTTGGGAGCCCTTGCAACAGAGCATCTCACTGTTGTACTAGGGACGGTAAGGATTGCACAGCTTCTCACATTACCATGCAGCCGCAAATAGGCCCTTATCCAAACTCACAAAGCCTTTCCTTTGTTGGAAGCCCGCAAACATCTCCAAGCGTCCCACGAAAGGCGTGAAAGAGACGAGGCCCTGAAAGAAGGCGATCGGCTGCGCGCCGAAGGCGCAATCCGCATTCTTGGGTTAAAGAATGAAGTTTCAGCAGGATTCTTTGATGGTCTTAGAAGGGTTTGTTTATGCCTGGAGTTTCAGGGAAAGTGACATCTCGCTTGTTGTAGACAGCATTTGTGGGCTCAGATTCAGGTGTTTCTGGGCTTTGGGGGGGCTCATTGAGGCTTCAGGTTTCAGACTGGTGAATTGAGGTTGAGGTTCAGAGCTTGGGAGTCAGTATGAAGCAGTGACTGAGACAGGGGCAGCCTTGCCTCAATCTTAAGGGGCCTTAACATCGCGGGATACACAAGAGCAGACTGTTGGTATACTCTGCCCAGCTAGCTAGAACCCTAAACCCTAAACCCTAAACCCTAAACAGCAAGCCCTCCAGAGAACCCTTCAGCTCAAACCCCACGACCATTTGAAAGTTCCAGGAGAGCGGCTAATGAGCCGCCAGGAGGCCGTGCGCAAGGAGACGGAGGATCTGGCGCAGCAGAAGGTCAGGGAAATCAACCCCCGCAACCCTGGATTCTAGGGTTTTGGGGTGTGTATGTAGATATGGATAGTTGTCAAAATTATGGCCCCTTTTGGGGTACCCGAAATAGTAGGTGCCGTATTATAATACGGACCCAAAAAGGGACCATAATTTTGACAACCACCCATATGTAGTATGTATGTGTACTGTCATATGACAGCTTAAGGGCGGAGAGGAGGAGTTCTTTCAGCTGAAGGGTTTAGGCTTTGGTCTTGTAGGCTTTACGTGTGCGTTTGTGGAGGTCAGGGATTGTCTTTTTGTTTTGAGTTTTTTTTGGGGGGGAAGTGTTCGGGGCTGAGGCATTTGGCTTCAGATCACAAGCATGGGCTGCGAGGGGCTTGGAGGTTTGGAGACTGAGTCGGGGTGCTCTCGGCTAGGGATTGGAGCTCATGCGGTTTGGGAAGAGCATTGAGCATGCTCTTCTTTACTTCCGGCGTTTGGTGGTCCGTCTGGTGCCTCGATGATTGAAACTGTGATTCCAATTCTTCGCGAAATAGTGTCTCAGAGCTGTAACGGTGTTTGATAAACGTTCTGTTGGTGTCGACGTTCAGAAAGAAGAGTTCTGGAGGCGGGGTCTGTTCGCGTGCTTTTGTTTGAAGCTCCTCGCACGCAGCTTGTGCTTGGGGAGGGTTTACTCAGGGTGCTGGGCCACGACCACGAGGGAGGATCCCACAATCCCCAACACTACACCATCAGACGTCCCTTTATCTCGGGGTGGCACTGGAAAGTTGCACTTCAAAGTAGCATGGAGCCTCAATGGAGGACCACTGTAGTACTCTTCTGAATGGGTGTGCTGTTTTTGTCGGACGCAGGCTGCAATGGGTCATTTGAAGCAGGCAAAACAGAGCCCGAACCCTTTCCCCTTTGCGGTGCGTAGGATCCCGCGTTGCGGATTGGGACTTGCGGCTTGAGACTAAGATGTAGGGTTGAGGTTGAGGATGACGGTTTTATAGATAGGGCAGATAGGGATCAGGGTATACTCTTCGCTTAGAGGCTCCATGCAGTTATACTACCCCCCCATACCCGGCTACGAGGAGCTGCTGCTGACCGTGGTGGAGGAGCTTCACCGGCGGACGCCTCAGAGGCCGCAGGTGCTTGCGCTTTAGCTTTTGAGGCTTAGGGTTTAGGGTTTGGGTTTCACTGTCTAGTGGGCCATGGGCTGGTTTTGGGTTCCTCGCCGCTGGATCCCAGGGGCTCTGGATTCAGTAGAAGGATCAGGAAACCTGGCAAGGAGGGTATGAATATGGATCTAAGTACGGGAACTCCAGTTAGGGTATGCCAGCTTCCCAAACCCGGTTCGGGCTGCTCGTGCTAGTCCCGAGATTAGGGCTCCTCGTAGTATTCACAAACACCAAACCCCACACCCTGAACCCCTGAAGCCCTGAACCTGCCTTGCACAGAGCCCTCCGAGGACCTGCAACAACGCAGGGATCAAGGAGGTCGCGCGGCACTCCATCAAGGACGGATGTCCTGGGCTTTTTAAACAATTTGGCCGAGTCCTCAACTAGAATGGGGGCTCAGACTTTGAAGGTGTAGGGCCAGGGCGTTGAGCTTGGGATGTTTGCTGGTTGGGGCTTCAGCTCAAGCGTCAAACAGAAGAGGGGTTCAAGGACTTTCCCTAAACCCTGGACCCCAATCCAATCAGACCATAGACTCACAGCCCTGAAGCCTAAAAACCAGAGGCCCAGAGCTTTCTTATCCCCTGTAGTTCGGACGGCTTTGGTGCGTTCAAAGGTCCGCTTGCGGGTTTAGCTCACCTCTGAACCACCTCAAATCCCGAATCCCCTCAAACTCCAACCTCCAGGACATCGGCGAATTCACGGCGAACTTCCGGCTCACCTGACGAAAGTCGTCTAGGGGCCTAGGGTCTCTAGCCCCAAGCTCCCCCCGAAAGTCAACCCTAGCCCAAATTCAGGTTCGGGTCGTCCGGCCCCGGTTGGCCGGGATTTTCCGCGGAGGGCCCAGGGCGTTTCAGAATATTATATAGGCATACAAGCCTGTTGGGGTCGAATAGGTAAAGATATATATATATATATATATATGTATATCTATATATATATATATAATGTTTTTTAAAATCTATATACATATATATATATATACAAATCTCATATGAGCCTGAACAGGCTCTCGCGTCGGCATGATGGGTTGTGCAGAGGTGTGTGGTTTGAGGACGCGTTGCCAGCGCGGGCATTGACATCGCTTCAATACATGGAACCCTCGGACTCCAAGCAAAGTGCTGCCGAAAGCACCTTCTGTTGAACATTGGCGTTCCGCTAATGTACTTGAACCCTGAATCACAGCCCTGAACTCTGAACAATAGCTGCGACGCTCCCGTGTCAGCCCGGATCTTAACCTTGAGCCCTAGATTAAACGATCCCAAACTCTATCGCTTCTTGAAAGCTTTCAGTCCGAAGGAGGGGCCAGTGGAATTCTCTGGCCTCTTAGAGGCCCGACGACGATGGCGGCATGGAGAGTGGGACAAAAGCACTGAAGATCTGGGCGGCTCTCTAGAACTAGGGCTAGAGTCTCCGTGAGGACAACGTAGGGTTCCCTAAAACAAAAGATGAGACTCCTCTTGTGGGTCAAAATCAGGGACCAACTTTGAGAACTACCCACACGGCAGTAATGTTCAAAATGGAACGCACTATTTAGTATATTAAGGATTTCTTGTGACCAGGCACAGCTGCATGCAGAAGAGGCCCTGACATTGAAAGCAGGCGAACCCACGGCTGCAGAGCTCATTATGCCTCTTGTGGCACAGACTTGCAGCAGCTAGACCAATGCACATTCGGGAGCTTGCTTTACAAGTTATCTTTATGTAGTGTTAAATCGAATGTGCCTGTCCCAGACCCCTCCACACAGTAGGATGCAGAAACACTTCAATTACGTAAGTAAGGCCTTGGAAGCCTGTAATAGTTCTGCAAGCCTTGGGCGCCAAATATTACCAGGAGTGCGAACACTGGCTGCAAAATAGGTGCAAACATTCTGCTAAATAAGTATTTCCGAGAATCCTATGCCGAGGCAGTCAGAATATCTTATGCTAGGATGATTGATATTAGGATTCAGAACAGGGACTCTGAACATTAAGAAACAGGATCAGGGCTATCAGGGTTTGGGCCAGACGTCCTTCTTTTTCATGGTTTCCGCTGCAGCTTCCGCCGCCTCATCAGCCGTGCCCTCCTCAATCCTCTGCCACCGCCTGTTTTCCCGCCATGCCTGCGCGGATTGCTGCGGGCCTGCTGCTGTGCCTCGGGGTGGCTCAGGACACTTACCGCTGCAAATCGAACCCTGATAGAGAGACCAGCTTCAACCTGAAGTAGAATCATATACTACTGAGGAACGAGGAGCCTAAGGAATTGCATTAGCAATTATTCAAACCGCTATTTCAACCGCTTGGCCGTTCGAAGACAATAATCGGGCTCGAGGGCCGCATCTAGGTTCTCTACGATGCTCACTGGCATAAGTTTGTGTTTCTGTTTAGGGTCAAGGGTTCATTTTTAGGGTTGAGGGTTTAGGACTTGAGATCGAGGGCCACGGGCTGGAACTATACGCGGACCAACGAGAACCTCATACTTTACCCATGTTTTTCCATTGGCGTCAATTTGCGCTGCAAACCCTAAAACCGAGAGGTTCAGGGTGTGGGCTCCACTTCTCTGCCAGGAGCCCCCCCGCTTGGGTTTGGGGTGTTAGTCCCTAAACCCTAAACCCTAAACCCTAAACCCTAAACCCTAAACCCTAAACCCTAAACCCTAAACCCTAAACCCTAAACCCCCTCTTTGTCCGCAGGCCGAGAGCGGAGTCCAGGGCTTGATCCACTGGCTGGAGAAGTCGCCCGGCCCGCGTTTCGAGCGTTTTCAGGGCCGGGGCCTTAAAGAAGGCGCACGGTTTAGGGTTTAGGGTTTAGGGTTTAGGGTTTAGGGTTTAGGGTTTAGGGTGGGCCTTGGCCTCCCCCTTTAAGGCAAGCCCTAATCCTACACTTCGAAGCCCCAAAACCCCTTGAGCCTTAAGCCGCAGAAGCCTCAAGCCCAAGGCAGGAACCCCCAGCAGCCGGAAGCCCAAAGCCTAAAGCCTAAACCCTAAACCCTAAACCCTAAACCCTAAACCCTAGGAACGGCCCCGAGCTGGCCGACACGGCGGGGCACTGCGTCGAAGCGATGTCCATGGCCAAGAGCCTTTCCGAGAAGTGCCAGACGACCAAGTTCGATCCGGAAGGTCCGAGAGAATTGGTGAAGGTTTAGGGTTTTGTAGTTGAGGGTTTAGGGTTTAGGGTTTTGTAGTTGGGATTTAGAGTTCTTGTGGGTTTAGGGTTGTAGGTTTAGGTGGTGGCGCTGGGGGTTTGAGGTTGTGAGCTGGGTGTTCGTTAGGCCTGTGCAATCATTTTGCCTACAGGTTCGGAACTATGTAAACCGAAGGGTCTATCAAACCCCTAAACCCTAAACCCTAAACCCTAAACCCTAAATCCATATCGTGTTTACTTCGGGTCTGAGGCGGGTTATAGGCAGGGGCTGAGGTTTCGGGCAACGCTCAGGGCCAAGAAGGGCAGATGAGGGTCTAGGAACCGAGTGTAAAGAGGCCAAGAGGGCTGTTGAATTCCGGCCGTAGCAGTCTTCATGAAAATGAGGCCTGACCATAACTCATAACCGTTACCTATTGTTTTGTGGCCTTTTTGGCATGAACCCTACAAAGAACTTCTAGATTCTAGATGTTTTAAACGAGACAAGTTTGTGTAAAACCTGGAACTCGAACCCCTTCTTGGGTCTCTGTTGGCTCCCCTCATTTCCTCGCGCTCCCGTTGTCGTCCTAAACCCTCGACACCTGCATCCTACATAGATCCCTGAGCAGAAGAGCCCGCAAACCCGAAGCCCAAAACCCTCAGCCCTCAACCTAGCACCGAATGTACCTTAAGAACCCAAAACCTACTTTTTTGTAGGGTCCCTATAAATCCCATATTAGGGTTTATAATAAGAACCTACAGAAAAGTGGGTTTTGGGTTCTTAAGGTAGAAGAGCCCGCCTAAAACCATCGGCGAAGGCATCGCCGGGTTGGCAGCCTGGGCCGTGCTGGAGGCTCGAGTCGGTTCAATAGCTGTTTAGGGTTTAGGGTTTAGGGTTTAGGGTTTAGGGCTGAGGCTTTGGGTCTTCAGGGGAGTACTTGGTTTAGGGTTTAGGGTTGAGGGGTTTAGGGTTTAGGGTTTAGGGGTTTAGGGTTTAGGGTTTAGGGGTTTAGGGTTTAGGGTTTAGGGGCTTTGGGTGTCGGGTTCCCTGGTTCAGCTTCAAAGGACTTGAGAGCCCAACTCTAGGCCCGAAAGAGATGGTTTGAGACGAAGTTTGGGGTTTTCGCCGCAGGGTTCCTCAGGCTTTCCGAACGTTGCAGCGGAGACAGTGGGCTGAAAGCGGGGACAGGACCCCTCTCCGGTTTAGGGTTTAGGGTTTAGGGTTTCCATGCCTGCACAACCGAGCTCTAAGGTTGCTGCATGCGCGGCCACCGAGAAGACCCAGTCGAAACCTTCATGCCTAAACCCAAACGCAAACTCAAGACACTAAGGGGGTTCTGGGGTCCATTATACTAGACATATAATGATAATAAGGAACCCCCCAAAATAGTATAGGTAAGTATTTAGGCCCCTATTGTGCAACTTATTCAGCTTCAAGCCGTCGTCCCCACCCTCCGCTGCAGGGCTTGGAGCACGTGCAGGCCCCCATGGCCCAGGACACGCCACCTTGAGCGCATGGGGGATGCTCCTAAATGGGAGTTTCCGAAAATTAGGGGTACCTTATGTGGGGGTCCTTATATTAAGGATCCTATTCTATTTAGGGTACTATCTTAGGGTCCCCTGTTTTCGGAAACCCCCAAATTGGTGTAAAGGACTTTCCAAGCAGAATATGGGGCGGCCAGGTTACGAAAGACTTCGGCAACTTGCTTCTCCAGTTCTTCCAAGACAGCAATTGGAATTGAATTTTCCTCGTGAGAGGCAACCAGCATGTTGCCTGGTTGTTGCTGCCCAAGTCCTATCTCGCTCTGTCTGACGCTCATTGCGCCCCTGCGTCTCTCTATCTCTTTGTCTCTATCGCCCATACGCGTGCATACTAGTGACTAGTGATCGTCTCCTCCTAACTATCGCCCAGGGCTTCTTTTGCTGTTGGTCTTCAGATGAGAGTCCCCCTCAGTTCTGCCTTGGGTCAAGTTTTTTGCAGCCTGTAGCTGCGTCTGGAGACATACTCCCGCGGCCTATGCCCAGCCCCGAAGACCACAACGGAACGCGTGAAAGCCGAAGCACTAAGCCAGCACCACCCCCCTTAGCTCGAGAACTCTAAAGCCCTTAAACTCTGAAGCAGTCTTGAATCCGTTTCGGCCCGGCTTCACGAGCTCGGTAGGGCCCCGAGCTTGAAAGGATTCGGGGGCAGAGGGTGTCTCTATCTCGGGGGTTGGGCTTTACGGGTTCGGGTTTACGGGTTCGGGTTGTTGGAAGTTCTGGATTTGAGGCAGGGTCTGGGGCTTTGGCCACAACCCCGAACCCCCAGCCCTGAACCCTAAAACCCCTGAGCCCCAAAACAACCCTATTATTCTCGAAGCTATAAGCCCCATAAAGCCCTACAAATCCTAGTAAAGCCCTCAAAGCCACTTGAACAAAAATCATCCTGAAACTCCCGTTCTCGGAGTGCGGAGAGCCCTTACGACCTTGGCAGGAGTTCGTCAACTCCTCCGTCGCCAAGTTCTACAAGGACCATGCGATCAAGCGCCTCTGCCTGCGACGAGATCCACCCTACTGGCAGTAGCAATTTTATAGGGTTTAGGGGTCTGTTGCATGCATGCACCTGCGAATGCATACATATACACACGCATGTGTCTTCGGGTACATAAGCTTGTATGTCAGATGCCGGTCTGTTACATGCATCGGTTTGCAGTGTCGCAATAGTCCAGGTATTGTTGTTGCAGGTCCCATCAATGACCGTCACGTAGCCTAAAGCGCCCGAGTTCAGGATTGACCGCCATAGAGTCAGAGGGTGCGGGCGTTAAATTTAAAGGAGCCGGTAGGGGGTGCTGGGTTTAAGTTTCTCAAAGGATCTCTGTGGTTGGTCTTGTGTAGATCGACCCCAAAGCCCGGAACCCTGAACCCTAAAATCTCAAGGCTTCTGCGAAGCACACCCTCGCGTCTGCCAACATGAGGATGGTGCAGAGCTGGACCCACCGCTCTCTCAAGGAGTGGGTTTCGAGCTAGAAGCAGTTCAAGTCGAGTCAGGACAGTGGTAAACGTATTGGCACAAGTGGTAATGGTGGTCGCAGTGATGCTAGCATTGGGGAGAATGACGGCGACATTGACAGGGACAACGATGTTGGCTGTTATGGTGAACCCGCACTGGAGATGATGGAAATGATGGTGACAAGAATGCTGCACCTGCTGCTGGTGGTGTGGGTGGTGGGCGTGGTGCTCGCGACAATAGTTGTTGTTATGGTGGTGAGGGAAATGTATCCATCACGACGACGACCACCACGACGGCTCGTGATTGTCTAGTCCTGTCTTCGTGCCCAACACCTAGCTCGTCAACCCGAAAATCCAAGCGTTGCCAGTCCCAACATCCGAAACCCTGAACCCCACGCACCAAGCCCTGCATCCTGATCCCAAGCCCCAAAGCCCAGATCCTAAACCCACCTTTGAATCCTGAACCCGGCAACCATCTTCTTGACGGACGCCCAAAAGTTAAGAAAAAAGAAGTGGGGATCCCATAGGTTAGGGCTTAGGGTATACGGGCCTCTCACAGCAGGGATTCCCGGAAGCCTCTTTCCTGTGATCCTCTCTCTGACCAAAGTACCCCGAGACCCTGACCCCCTAAACACTGAACCCTTAAGCCCAAAACCCCTCACGTTTGATGTGATACTTTGTGCCTATGGAGAGGAGTTCTGCGATGGTGACTGCCTCAACGGGTTGGAAAGCTTCGATGCGTCTTACGCAAAGTGTGCCTCAGCTGCAGCCGTTCCTTTCGGTTTGGGGGCATAGAACCCTTTAAGGAACTCTGTAAAGGAACCCCAAAACTCTATAATAGCCTTTATAGAAACCCTTTTGGGTGTTCCGTGGTTATAGAGAGCCGGATGTAGGGTGCTGGTTTTGCAAGCTTCTTAATTGAGCGGGATAGGTTTAGGGTTTAGGGTTTAGGGTTTAGGGTTAGCCTGATGCCGGTCCCTCCCGAATGGGCATCTCGAAGGATGTGGTGGTGGTGAGTAAATCTAGAGTTCACTGTCCCGCCGAGCAGAGATTTGCACGGATGTGTTTACGGTTGGCTTGGGGCCTTAATGTCTTGGATTGCGGGTTCAGAAGGCACGCGAAACCCCTATAAGATCGATTTGCCTCGGGAAATGTTGCATGCATCCAGCTCATTGAGAGTTTTGGGATTCAGTTGCAGCTAAGGCCTGCACGCTTGAAGTACTAATTAGACCCTCTAAACCCTAAACCCTAAACCCTAAACCCTCTACTTCGGGTCACGGGATCAGGGTGCATTCTGCGTTTGAGGGAATCCTCTGAGTCCAAAAACCTGACCCCCACCCTTTGTCCACAAAAGCCATAGCCTCAGGGCCAAAGCACAAAATCGATGTTTCAATGTAATGAAAGCCCGAAACCAGGGAGGAAGGCCCTGTACATAACCACGGAAGCAAAACCCCTAACCCCTAAACCCTAACCCTAAACCCTAAACCCTAAACCCTAAACCCTAAACTTTGCCTTCTGCCGAGGCTACTCGTCGGCGATCTGCGCCGCGGCCCTGTCCAAGGAGATCCCCTACGACCACTGCAAGAAGACGATGGTCCCGCTTGGGCTTTGGGTTTATGGGTTTAGGGTTCAGGGTTTAGGGGCTTTGGGTTTATAGCTTAGGGTCCGAGGTATGAGTATCGGGGTTTAGGGTTCAGGGCTTGGGGTTTGCTACCTTTCCGGCAGTTCGTTGGCGAGCTTTGGCTCGTTTGTTCGACGCTGTGGATTTTTTTAATACGGGCATGTATATGTACCTACGCGTGCATGCGTGTGTACAGTAGTGTACTGCTATATCGCAGAGAGCATGTGGATATGTACATAGTCAGATGCAAACACATATGTGCTGGCACGTCCGCATACACATGCACATAGCCGGGGCACAGTTCACATACCCCCACAACTGCACATACATATCAAAATTACATGTGGACGTGCATATGTATATATGTATATGTATATATATGCTATATATGCAGATGTTCCCACGTTGACAAGCACATACACGCAACTTGATATACTATGTGCGAGTATACATATGCATATACATGTATATGTGTACATATATATATATACACCTACATAACATAACATCACATAACATAACATAACATAACATAACATAACATAACATAATATAATATAACATAACATAGCAAAACATATTATAACATAACATAACATAACATAACATACACATACATACATACATACATACATACATACATACATACATACATACACACACACACACACCCATGTGCGCATGTTTGTCAATCTGCATGTATGGATAAATGGATGAATGGGTTGATAGGAAGATTGATGAACAGACAGATGTGCACAGATAATACATACACATGTGCACGCAAATATGAATACATACATACGTACATACATACATACTTACTTACTTACATACATACATACATACATACATACATACACACACACACACACACACGCACCTGCATGCGTGCGAAATATATCATAGCCCCATAACTACGTAACCTTACCTACGTGCCTGCTACACAGACATACATACATACATACGTACATACATACATACATACATACATACATACATATACACACACACACACACACCTGCATACGTGCGAAATATATCATAGTCCCATAACTACGTAACCCTACCTACCTGCCTGCTACACCTCACATACAGCTACACCTACCACACACACATCATGCGCACAGACACATATGTGCATACATACATACACGCACACACACACACACACGTACATACATACGTACGTACGTACATACATACATACATACATACATACATGCAGTCAGCCAGTCAGACAGGCAGACAGAGAGAGAGAGAGAGACGTGGACAGACCGATAGACAGAGACAGACAGACCGGACAGACAGTGACAGTCAGACAGACAAAGAGACAGACACAGGGACGTACATGCGTACATGCATGCATACATGCATATACATGCATGAGCCGTCCATCTATCCATCCCTCCCTCCGTCCATCCTCCAGCCATCCATCCATCCATCCCCATCCCTCGGATGTTGCTATTGGTGCCGATGATTGGGTCTAACGGCTCGGGATCATTGAAAGAAGTTTAGGTTGTAGGGCTCCAGTTTCCCCGACTTTCGGCCACAAAACCCAACCCTTTAAGGTTGAGGGCACTCAAGTCGCCACAGGTAGTTCCAGCCCCGAAATGGCGCTCATCCATGTGTCTCAATTCCGGCACACAACTTAACACACATCGCATGGTGCGTGCGCATAAACGCATGCGCATGGATTCTGGATGGACGGATGGATGATAGATGGCTGGCTGGCTGGCCGCGTAGACTTTGTGCTCAAACTTCCGGCCCTGATCAGAGCCTGAAAGGGGGTGCCCGATGGAGAAGATCGCTATGGCACTTTACAACACGTCCGTTCAGTATCCCAAACATGCTAGACCTGACAACGAATACTCTGAAGCCCAGCTTGCACCGTAGCCCTGAAACCCAAACCCCAAAACGAACTGAGCTTAAATTAGGCCAAAAGCCTTTGACCCTTTAAACTCTAACTAAGCCCTATATCTCAAGTGCTTGACTCTAGACCCTACACTCTAGATCCTCGACAGTACGCCCTAAACCCTAAACCCCAAACCCTCAACCCTAAACCCCAAACCCCAAACCCTTAACCCTAAACCCTAAGCCGTAAGCCCTTAGCCCTAAACCCTAAACCCTAAACCCTAAAAAGCCAGGCCAGACTTTGCCTCGCAGGAGACGTTTATGTTGCGGACCATGCACATCGAGCAGGCGATGATCTGCAGCAAATCCTCCATGTCCGACTACTTCTGCGCCGAGGCCCTCAGAAATTTTACTAAACCCTAAACCCCTAAACCCCTAAACCCCTAAACCCCTAAACCCTAAACCCTAAACCCTAAACCCTCAGTTTTAAGGCTTTGGGGCGTTGAGCTGTTTAGAGTTTTTGGGTGTTTGGGATTCGGTGGGTTTTTATGGTTCGGTGTGTTTGGTGATTGGGTTTTGGGGGCCTATGACTCAGGGCTCAGGATTTTGGGGCCTATGACTCAGGGCTCAGAATTTTGTTGGGGGAGCGGAGTTGAAGTTTGGGGATTTGGGCTAGGGCTGGGCATCGGGGTTGATAGCTTGCAATGATCCCAGATCTGTGCAGTTGGGTACAGTCAGCCGGGAGCAACAGCAACAGCAGTTGTTAAAACGGCAATGCTAAGAGTCTTGCGGCAGCTGGTAGTCCTGCACTCACATACTGTTAGCAAATTGTACAAGCCACCACAAAGATACATAGACAGCTTGTGTGCAGGAAGGCTCCTAGAACCCGAGCTCTTGAGTTCTTAGACCCCAAACCCTAAGCCCTACACCCTTCAAGCCCACGCTCTTACACCAGAAGCCCCAAAGCCTACTTAAAGGATCATGGGACTTAGTAAGTAGAGTTATAACTCAGGTAGCTATACTTGTAACCCCAACTAAGGGACTTGTAACCTTACTTACTAAGTCCCATGATCCTCCAAGTAGGCTTTTGCTTACACCCCAAACCCTACGCCCCACGAGCCGCCCCAAACGAAGCAGGAGAGGAACACCCTCCTTCTGGAGAGCCCGCAGTGCTACCTTCTCTTCTTTACTCCGGTGCTGGACAAGAGGCGTGGGCAAGTTAATATAGGGGCCTCATAAGTGGAATAGGGTTTTGGGTGGGTATATTATACCACTCACTATGGTAGTTATCATCAGGAACCCCAAAAACCCTGTTCTAATTATTAAGGCCCCTACGTTAGATTGGGACTATGTCTGTATACTCTAGAGCGACCCCAGCACCCAGAACTTTAGTGTTCCAGTCGGGCTACGGTTTTCGAGCTGTGGGTCCAGGTTTTTGTGTCCGGGTTCTGGGTTTCGGATTAGGGTTTAGGGTTTAGGGTTTAGGGTTTAGGGTTTAGGGTTGGCTTGTTTAGTGGCTCATGTGGATAAGCTTCCTGCGGTTCAGGGATTGTGGGGGCTGGAAGGGGCAAGACTTCGAAGGCCCAGCAGCCTTAAAGGCCACGGGCCCTCAACCCCCAAATCCCCAAACTGAAGGCCTAGGGTTTAGGGTTTAGGGTTTAGGGTTTAGGGTTTAGGGCTTAGGGTTTAGGGTTCAGAAGGCCCTACAGGCCGTAAGCCGCGACTGCTTTTAAGTTGCCCTAAACTTCATCCCCTCGGCCGAGTCCAGGTGCTTGTTTCAAGTCTGGGAGCTTCAGGAATTTAGGGGCACCATGATAAGGAAAGCAACTCGGTTCCGAAAGATGTTTTCTGGTGTCGTAAAACACGCAGCTCCTCAACGGCAACCCCTTTCAACTCTGGACCCTTACACCCTCAGCCCGAAACCGCACTCCTGAACCCTGAGCCCTAAACTGTCACCCCTAAACCCCTCGACCCCAAACCCTACGGCGTCTAAAGACTTGAACTGCAGAGGACCTGCTCAGCAGAGTGCGTGGCGCAGTGGAGCGAGGCGCTGATTAGCTCGGTTTCCCAATACCGACACTTCACCCAATAAACCCTAAACCCCAAACCCCAAACCCGAAACCCTAAACCCTAAGCCTTAAACCCTAAGCCCATTGGAACAAGATCCGAAAGTGCGTCAAAACTGGGATCTGGGATCGATAAGTATCTGTGCTGAAGCGCTTACCATTCTGTTTCTTTGTCCGACAGCGCGAGTGTAGTTAGGGTTGAAAGGCTCCTCGGTGTCGTGTTTCGATTTCACCAGGTTCGAGTTCATGATATGGGCCCTAAACCCTAAACCCTAAACCCCGGGATTTAGACGCTCCCTCTGTTGAAGGACTTTAACATTTGGGAGCGACGAGATTCAATTCAGGGTCTGAGGTCCAGAGATTTGGGTTTAGGGTTTAGGGTTTAGGGTCTGAGGCATCACTGTTTGGGCCTTCAGGGGACGTTAGTTGAGTTTGAGATGTCGGGCTTGCTTCAACGTCACAGGACTCTGCTTCTGGGGTTTGCTGCCCCAGGTTTCCCCCAAAGCCTTGCTTCTACCCTATGCCCTAACCTAAACCCTAAACTCCAAGGCTTTCTTTCTAAGATTTGAGTGTGCCGAAAGTGGAGGCCAAGTCGCTTCATCCGGGCTGCTCCTCGTTCCTCCAGCGTCAGACTCAGGCAGTCTCGACAATGAGCCTTGGAAGGCACATCATGGGTAATAGGCCGGGGCTTAAGGGCTTTTGTCCGTGTGCATGCAAGGAGCGACGGTGGGGTTTGGGTACAGCTTCCTCGCTTTGGGGTTGAGACCTGCGGTCTGTGCCTTCTTGGCGTCCGCGCGTCCTTTCCACATTTCGGAGTTTCCGAAAATGAAAGACAAGGAAACCCATGTGGTATGTAGGTTCCTTGTTGCCGGGACCCCTCATAAGCACACCGAACAGACCGCGAAATGTATGCCCTGCATAGGAGATGCCTAGCTGTGAGAAATCCCTTGCACGCGGCGAAGTGCTTCACTCCCGACAAGTGGGAAAGTTCAGAGTGTAATCCACATACATAGATAGATAGCTAGATAGATAGATAGATAGCTAGATAGATAGATAGATAGATAGATAGTTAGCTAGTCAGCCAGTTAGCTAGTTAGTGAGTGAGTGAGTGAGTGAGTGAGTTAGCTAGCTTCAGCTAGCCAGCTAGCTCGCTAGCTAGGTAGGTAGGTGGTGGATGGATGGACGGATGGATAGATAGATGATAGATAGATAGTTTTGCATATCTTACTGTGTATATTATATATATATATATACATATATATATATATATACATATATCTGCAGATATCTATCTACGTATAGATACGTAGAAACACGTATGATATGTGTATATATATGTGGTATTCACACATATTTAAAATTATATGTATATCACACATATGATGTGGTATGTTGTGATACGCTAGGGTACATGTAATTTCCTGAAAGCTTTGGTTAGAAGGCAAGGCCGTGGCTGAACGAAGGCTTAGAAATAAGAGCCCCCCACTCTAAACTCCAAACCCTCAACCTTAAGCCCCAAACCCAAACTCCACATCCCAAACCCTCAAGTATCTGAAACCCCACATCCCAAACCCTCAAGTATGCCCTAAACCCTAAAACCTAAACCCTAAACCCTAAACCCCAAGCCCTAAAGCCTGAGGACCTTGGAGTTCATGCGGGAGTTGATCAGTGGCGCGAAGGATCCAGCCATGCGACAGGCCTTGGATCATCTCCCCAAGCACTTCATGACCTTCGAACAGGCCGGCTCAGGGTTTCCAGTCGAGTGAGGGTTTGGGTTCAGGTTTATGGGTTTAGACTGTTTGGAGGCTGAGGCTTTGGAATCAGAATGAGCAGAACTGCTGTCAGGGCTTGCTCCAAGAGCCGCTTGACCGTTGTTGTTCATTTTGGGGTCTAACAAGGGTCTTTCCCTCCAGACCATAGAAGTGTAATATGGGGGCGGTAAGATTATAGTAGGGTTTGTCGGGTATAGAACATCGTAATATTACTGTCATATATACAGACTGTCCGGGAATATGAGGAACCGTTACTATTCATTCCAAACTCTATATTATCTCAAGGCCAGGAGCACAACATCTATTAAGTGGAGCCTTGCTTCCCTTTAGGGCAGTTCCCTCTTAGGGTTCTAGGGTTTAGCAATCTTGGGTACCTTACGTGGACGCCGAGTCTGCAGCAATGCCCTTACGAGCTTTCAAGCTCGGTTCCGGCCCATCGGTTTGGGGCTGTCCAAACGTCCTACGCCTTGGCCGCGAGATTTGTTTCCTCCTTGCAGATTGCTCACAGGCCTGCATGGGCCCAGCCGCTGCTATGCCTCCAAGCCTGGTTGTGTGAGGTTCCTTGGCCCCTGACAGGCGCTAGGGTTCAGGATTTAGGAGCTCGGACTTTGGGGTTCGGAGTTTGGGGGGTGTAGTGCGGAAGGGGAGTGCAAGCAGAGCTCATCGGAGTTGGGAGTTCTGGCGTGAAGATGCTTCTGGGTTTTGCATCTTGCACCCTCTAGCAGATCTCAGTCGGACGCTCGAAGTGCGGTATTCAGAGGACCAGGTCTTGTATCATGACAGTCTTCATCACCCGGAAAATCTAGCTGAAAATTAAACAGGTTAGAGTTTCTAGGCCCTGTGCCGTAGCCCATACCACAGTCTCGCCGGCTCCCTCCTACTTGCTACCATTCCAAGGCCCGTTCTGCAAGGCTTGGGTAGTTTGAGCCCTTGCGCTCATGGCAGCCGCGTAGGTTGCACTGTACAGGGCGCACGCTCCTTTTTTTGCAAGCAGCAGCCTTGCAGCAGAGTGTGCGCAACCTTAGGCGTTAGGTTCGGATGGCAGTCCCTCAGCAAGCAGTGCCTCAAGAGGCCCGAACGACAAACTCGAAGCACCTCTGCCCTTGAAGCGACATGTGCTTATCAGGACTGCAGTTCTTGAGAAGCGGATCCCTAAACTAATCCATGAGGAGCCCGCTGCCTGACAATCCCACGGGACCGAGACGCCACTCCGAAAGCAGTTTGCAAAGCAAAGCTCAGTCCGCGGGCACTGCCTGGGTGCCCTGCGGCTTCAGCGCCTGCTCCAAACATGGCCTCGATTCGATGTTAAAATGATCTATGCCTTGCCGTAACCTCGTAAACAGACTAAGTACTAAACCCACTGAGTCCTAAACTAGAGCTTGGAACAGTAGACTGTGGAGTTTCACTTTCACGGCTGATTCACTTGCCCTAGACTAGACCCCGAAAACCCTGCGGGCTTACACCCCAATACCCGCTAACCTCCAAACCCAACGCAGGCGTCATGCACAAGGACCTCAAGCCCGAGAATGTCATGATGGCCAGCCCCCGGAAAGCTCCTCTGGAGGCCGCCGGGGGGTGTTTTTTGCATCTGGAGTGCTTCTGGGGCTATTTTTGCGCTTGGTGTCTTAATGGTTGTTGTTTTTTTTTCGGGGTTTGGGGGGTTGAGGTCCAGGAACATCTCCTTGGACTTGAACCTGCCCCGACAAGCCCAACCCCGAGAGCCTCAAACCCCCAACGCCCAACCCGAAACCCTGAAGCTTTGAACACTCCTTACATCTTGACATCCCGCAAAGAAAAAGGAAGGAAACGAGAGAAGATAACTGTGGGTGTGACTTGAAACAGTGAACCCTAAACCCTAAAGCCCAAACCCTAAGCTTCCAAGACCGTACGAAAGCAACTCGGAGCCCTGAGAGCCTGGAAAGCAATTGCCAACCCTGAACCGAGGCCCAAGCTCGTATGATCATAGAACAAACCAAAACACAGTAAAATATACGATGCTAAACTATGATTATAGCACAGTTCTTCTGGCACAGTGTAATGTAATAAAGTGAAGTATAATTTTAGATAATGTAACATAATGTAGTACTACGTGGTATGATATAAAACAAACTAATACAAGCTGGTACCATATCCTTTTTGTCGAGGACCTGCACGTGGTGGTCGTGGACTTCGGCCTTGCCCAGTGGCAATAGCCTCATCTTTCCCACATCTTGCGTCGGCATTGGATTGGGTTTCAGTTTCATGCATCTTTAGCAGAATCTGTGCATGCAGTGCATACACTCGCCGATGTGTATATATATATATGCACACACATCAACAAGCACAATATTCATTTACGGCTGTACCTGCCTGTCTAATTCGTAAGTCTGGCCGGAAGTTGTTGCTCAGTGCCAGAAAGTCACGTTAGTTTCCTTTCGCTTATGTTTGCTGCCGCATATGGAAAGTCCTGCTCTGCCACCTATGCTTGATGTGTTTTTTCACTCTTGTAGAGCTGCTTCTGCTTGCTCGAAGTAAGCCTCTCTGTATGTGCTTCAGCTGATAACTCACCGTGTGCTGGTGTGAGGTTCTGCCTCTGTTTACCCTGGGGGTGTATGGTGCAGGGGGGTTTGGAGATATGGAGGTTAGGGTGTAGCGGTTCGGAGCTTCCGGGGAAAGGCCGGCATGTTGACCCTGTTGTGTGCCATGTTCTCGCAGGCCGCAGGCGCCTTACTCACCGGCGACGGCCCCTGCAGAGCATTTTCGCTCCGACTGGCTCGAAAGAAAACGACACATCCACGCCCTAGGCCATATTGAAGCCTGGTTAGAAAGCAAAAGCCCTGAGCCCCAAAACCCTTCAGCCAACAAAGGTTCTCAAGGCCGGAACTCCAAGAGCCCGAAAGCCCTAAACCCTAAACCCTAAACTACAAACCTAACCCTCAAACCCCTACGAACTTAAACCCGTGAAATCCTAAGTCTGCCTATGGCCTCGATCCTGAGGAGGTTGAAAATGCCAGTGAAGGCCTGCCCTAAACGAAGTACGAACTTAGTGCGTTTAGGGTTTGGGATACCCCTTGAGTCGCAGGTATGAGTAGACTTTGAGTCAGAAGTCATCTTAAGAAGCCCTATATCATCTAACCAGAGGGCATTCGGCTCTCAGGGAAGGGGTTTCATGGTTTTGTTTCTTAGCCAGCCGATGAGGCACCATTGTCGGGGGGAAGTGGGGTTGGCAAGATGGGTTTAGGGTTTAGGGTTTAGGGTTTAGGGTTTAGGGTTTAGGGTTTAGGGTTTGCAGGGCTGCATAGGGGTTACTAATCGAAGTAGACGTGCTACGCCAAAGGATCGTCAAACGGGGCTCAAGGTGCGAAGAGATATCCCGGCTAGCGCACTGAAGCTAAAGCCCAGAGCTCCCATAAACCCCTGCGAACCCCAAACTCGAAAAACTGGTTTCACCCAGTAAGATCGGTCCTGAAACCTTTTCAACCCCGAACCCCTGTTAAGCATTACCTTAATCCAGTAAGGCTCTCTTTGTCTGTATGGCTTTCAAACCAACAGCGGTGTAGGTGGTGGCCGGTTTAGTTCAGGTAAGCCCTTAAACCGATGATTTTTTTGCTAAACCCCAGACGCTTCGTAATCATATCCCCGGTGGTGCGAATATAACCTTCAAGCCCCGAAAACCATGACTGTTTAAGGCCACTACACCAGACACCTCTGTCTTTTGTGCAGGCCATCGTGGTGGAGAGGTTTGGTGGACCGGAGGCGCATTTCCAGGATCTTCCTTGAGGCTATAGGCATAGAGGGTTCCGGATCTGGGGTCAAGGGGTTCCGGGATTAAGAGCTTTGGATGTTCGGATCTTAGTTAGGAGGTTAGCATGTTGTAGGAATGTGGATCAAAGAAATCAGGGTTGAGTACATAGATGGGGGGCTGGTGTCGGGATTCCTGTGCCAAGGTACCACGATCTATGACAGCCGTAAGGCCCTCAACTTACACTAAAGCCTTGAACCCAAAGTGCTAGATTTACACCCAAATTGCTAGATTTACGCCAAAGCCCAAAGACCCAAAGTTGCCCTAGACCCATAAAACCCAGCCCTTTTTAATCCCCAGCACCCATAACTCACCCTTCCCCACGAACCTTTAACTTATCACCAAACCTTAAGAACCCAAAACCTACTTTTTTGTAGGTTCTTATCATGAACCCTAATATGGGATTTATAGGGACCCTACAAAAAAGTAGGTTTTGGGTTCTTAAGGAAGGCCCTAAAAAGAATGGCCCGAGAGACCTGCGGAGGTGTTGTCGCTCTCCACCAAGGAGCTGCCGGCCATCAGTGCTGGCCAAGTCCGGGTCAAGGCTGCACGGCTTTTTGGGGGATTTCGGTGGTATAGTGGTAGTGTATTCACGGCTTAAACGGGTTTTGGGTGTATACCGTAGCATATATCTATAGGAGCTGTGCCGGGATAGTCTTAGAATTCCGCTGGCTGCAGGGCATGTTTTTCGAATGAAGGGTGTAGACTAATATCAAAGCATAACTATATGCATGGCGACAATAGGCGGGGGGCTGTAATGAAGATATTAAAAACGAGTTTGGGTTCACGGGCTTTGAGGGTTGCGGGGCTTAGGAAGTTCTCACTTTATAAGGTTTCAGGGCTCGAAGGCCTGACGGTTTTGGCGTTTTGGATTAGAAACCCTAAACCCTAAACCCTAAGCCCCTTAAACAAAAAAAAGACCTTAAACCCTAAAACCCTAAACCCCTTAAGCAAAAAAAACTTAAACCCTAAACCCCTAAACCCTAAGGGCTTTCGTGTCTTAAAGTTTGGGGGTTGAGGAGTGGTGAGGGTCGGGGTTGAAGGTTTGGGCTGACGGATTGAGGGTTTTGGGTCTGGGATTTTTCGAGGAACCCAAAACCCTAAGAACTTGGGAAAAGAGCGCTCAAAAACAACCCTAAGAACTTGGGGGTTCTAGATATCGGTTTTCCGGTTTAGCGTGGGTGCTTTTGAGGTTGAGGCGTGGGGGGATGTGCCGGGGGAGGACTTGGGGTTCCATTGGAGGTGCAGGGTTTGGGGTTTCGGGTTTAGGGTTTGAGGTTTGGGGTAGGGGCTGGGTTCAGAGGTTTGCGAGTTGAAGCGAATTTTTAAGCTGCATGGTTTGTCGCGCACGGCTGATGAGTTCATTCTGTTGTGTACATCGCGGCCTGAATTAGAATAGGGTTTTGGGGCCCATTATACTATAAGTAAAATCAGGAACACCCAAAATAGTATTGGTAATTAGTTACTCCCCTATATTACTCTTATGAAAAGCTCCCCGACATGCGCCGGTTCTCCAGGTAGGAGTTTCCGAAAACAGGGGACCCTAATATAGTACCCTAAATAGTAGGACCCTTATTATAAGGACCCCCCAAA